TAGTACTACGGCGGGGGGTGGGGGGGGGGGAGCAGCCATACCCCTGCTGCCCTCTTTACTCTTGGTTTAAGGTGCACTGCCGGTATGAAAGCCCAGCCCTGGTGCCTGAAATACTACAGGTATACAGGAGTTTTTAAAGAGAGATGGGAAAGGAGACAGCCACAGGGTCAGGAAGGGGAATTTGGATTCAGGGATGGGGAACCATTCAAAGAAGGCAGAACCAGTGTGCCTGTGTTTTAGAAAGTCACTGGCAGCCAGATGAGGAATGGAGGAGAGAAGAGGGAGGCAGGCCCAAGACAGAAACAGAGACCAGCTAAGACCCTGCTGTCCTAATTCTGTGCCAGTGAACATGAGAAATTCCGTTTACATATGTTTAGAGAAGCTTGATTTATTTTTTAAAATATTTTTTTAGTTGTCAATGGACTTTTTAAAAAATTTTTTTCTTAGTTGTTGATAGATAGTTATTTTATTTATTTATACATGGTGCTGAGAATCAAACCCAGTGCCTCACACATGCCAGGCAAGTGTGCTACCGCTGAGCCACAGTCTCAGCCCTATTTATTTATTTATATGCAGTGCTGAGAGTTGAACCCAATGCCTCACACATGCTAGGCAAGTGTTCCACCACTGAGCCACAACCCCAGCCCCTTGATTTCTTTTTTAAGACAAAGGAATTGTGGAAAAAAAATTTTTTTTGTAAGGGACAAAGATTTGTTTTCTTGTACTTTTCTAAGTCATTGTATGAATTTGCCTTTTTAAAAGAAGACACACTTTAATGGATTTCAAAAGGAAAAAGACTCGCATTTCTTATTTAAGACCAAGCCAAATACTGGCTTACTTGTCCAAAGAGGGAAAAGAGCTTGCTCTTCTGTCCTGAGCAGGCTAAACCTTAACATAAACCAAGTATGTTTGTGTCTTCCCACATAACAATAAATTCACAAGCTACACTACCTTCATCAGTTGCTTTTCACCAAGTGCTAGTGGGTCAACTGGTTGTCAGGCTAACAATTACAAATTCAATTATTGCATTCCAATCTTAATTTCTAATATCTGTAATAAGTCACACATCGTATTTCATACAATGATATACATGTTTTACAGAAAGACTAAGGACTAAGGTGGCCACAGTGTTGTTACAGGATGCTGTGCCAAGAACAAAGGCAGAGAGCATATTTGAGGGCAAACAACAACTATAGGGACTCAGCTAAGGGTCCCGCCACCCCCCCTTTTGGTGGTGCTGGGGATTAGAACCCAGGACCTTGTGCATACAAAGCAAGCACTCTATCAACTGAGCTATATCCCCAACCCTCAGATAAGAGGTTTAATGAACCAGTTCTGCAGGTTCCTGATGGAGGGATGGAGTTCCCACATTTGGGTCCCAGCATTTGGGTGCTGGCTTAGAGTGGGCCATGTGTTATTCTTACAGGCAGAAGAAACTGCACTACACTGAAGCCCAGAAACAGAATGGAAGGTTGTTACCTGGGCAAGGTTGTAATGAGTAACCAGGTGACAGGGTCAGGATCCTGCTGTGTCCAATCTGGATGGTGTGGGGGGAATCTCCTTTAATGGATCTTAGATGAGGGGGTCATGTCATGTGGAGTTGATAAGCTCCTCTGTCTGGGTGTTTTTGATGTGATTTGGGATGCCCATGTATCCAGGTGCTCCTGATTTAGTTTGATCTGTTGGCACAAAAAAGGTGTTTATCAACTTGTGCCTTAGGGTTATGCTGGGCAGATGGTTGTGTACTTGTACAAACAAGGCATAGAGTCCTTCTACCTTGGCATTGGTACTCAAAATGGAGTAATCCACAGCAGACTACTTGTTTGTCTACATGATGTGGTAGGAGCCAGCAGATCAGAGACCCTGACCTGAATGACAGTCCCTCTGAAGAGTCACAGGTGACCAGATGGAGCCCCAGCTTATTGTTTATGCTGTGGTGATCTCCACTCCTCCTTTTTTTTTTAGTTCTCAGTTTTCTTTTTTTCTTTCTTTCTTTTCTTTCTCTGAGATTAGAGGTACAACAGACAACTTTTTAAAGATGATTGCTGCTAATGTCCTGCTTCACACTAGAACTTAATCAGTCTGGGTACTGAACTGATGGCCTGATGTGCAGTCTTTATGGGAAGCATAAATTGTTTCAATCTGGTTCAGTGAGGATGCAGGAGTATCTGCCCTGAGCAATTTCCCTACTTTTACACTTTGAACAAAGGTGTTGCCAAATCAATGAATACTCATGAAGTAAGATTGCAAGAATGTCTAATCTAATCATGGAAAAAGGAGGTATGTGTTTGCTGCTGCCATCTCCTCTTCTCCTTCTTCCTCCTTTGACTTAGCAGGCAAACTTAACATCAAAAAGCCAAATAACCCAATTAATAAATGGGCAAAGGAACTGAACAGGTACTTCATAGAAGAAGAAACATAATCAGTATATATATATATATATATATTTAAAGCCACTTTAGAAGTTTTAACAGTTTGTTTTTTAAAGCAAGGAAGATAAAACACAAATATATTCCTATTTTTTAAAATGAGAATTAAAAATACCTTTTTACTAATCAGATCTTCTTGTAGGTATTTTTTTTCAGGGCATTTACATATGTACCTATTTAATAGTATAGTTTTGGTTTGTGCTTTAAAAAAAAAAAAAAGCAGGATCAACTTAATCTGTAATAAACTCTCTTATATCAGCATGTCTTGGAAAGTTTTCTATGATAGTGCACCTATCTCTGTCTACTTCATTCTTAACAGCTATATGATGTTCCTTATTATAGCCATTTAATTATATATTGATTTGCAGTTCATAGACATTTAGCTTCCGATCTTCATTACAAATAATGCTACAGTAGCTCTCTTTGTTCAAATTTCATAGTGCTCATGTGTTTCTTATTATGGAATTTATACCAATAAATTTTGATTAAATTGAAGTCAATGTTTATATTTGGGAATAACAAAATATATTTTTCTTTGGAAGTACTCTGTTTCCTTAAATCCTGATGCCTTTTCTACAAATAGACTTGGTGAAATCTTTCATGGAAAAATTCCATGTAGCCACTGTATGGGATGCTGTTGGCAGTTTTATATGAACCATTGCCCTAAAAAGGCAGGGAAAGATCCAAATGTCCATGGGTAGGTGGTGGGCGAAATATTTGCAAGGACATCTCTGTCATATAAAATAGCCCGAGGAAGTTCTCTAACTACTGAGAGAGATCTCAGTAGTTAGAGAGAGATCTCCAGGATGTTACTGTTATCTGGAAAAAGCAAGATGCAGAGTGTGTGTAGAATATGCAGGTGTTTCTGTAAGAAGAAGATGAAGTAAGTTTGTACTTACACAAAGAAATTGAAGGTAACACAAAGGTGTAGTAAAAGCATTTCTGAATGGGGTGAAGGAAGACTTTCACAGCCTACGTTTTTACAATGTCTTAATTTTTGAACCATAATTATATTGCCAATTCAGAAATAATTGACTTCTGAAAATGAATTTTACTTCTTAAGGAGCCAATTAAATCTGACCTTTTTAATTTTTTTTGGTTTTGTTCAATTTTATCTTTTTTTATTTGTTCTTTTTAGTTATACATGTCTAGAATTTATTTTGACATATTATACATACATGGAATGTAACTTTTCATTCTTCTGGTTGTACATGATATAGAATTACATTAGTCCTGTATTCATATATGCACAAAGGAAAGTACTGTTTGATTCATTCTTCTGTCTCTCCTATTACCATTCTCCCCTCCCTTCCCTTCATTCCCTTTGTCTAATCCAGAGTACTTCTAGTCTTCTCTATTCCCCCAGCCCCATTGTGAGTTAGCATCCACATATCAGAGAGAACATTTGGCTTTTGGTTTTTCAGATTGGCTTGTTTCACTTAGTATGATAGTCTCCAGTTTCATTCATTTACTGGCAAATGCCATAATTTCATTTCTCTTTATAGCTGAGTAGTATTCCACTGTGTATATATACACCACATTTTCTTTATCCATTCATCTGTTGAAGGGCACCTAGGTTGGTTCCATAGTTTAGCTATTGTGAATTGAGCTGCTATAAACATTGATGTGGCCATGTCACTATAGTAAAGTTGATATTAAGTCCTTTGGGTATAAACCAAGGAGTGAGGTAACTGGGTCAAATGATGGTTCCATTCCAAGTTTTCTTAGGAATCTCCACACTGTTTTCCAGAGTAATTGCACCAATTTGCAGTCCCACCAGCAGTGTATGAATGTACCTTTTCCCCCACATCCTCGCCAACATTTATTGTTATTATACGCTTGACAATTGCCATTCTGACTGGAGTGAGATGAAATCTCAATGTAGTTTTAATTTGCATTTCTCTAATTGCTAGTGATATTGAACATTTTTTCATATATTTATTAACTGATCATATTTCTTCTTCTGTGCAGTGCCTGTTCAGTTTCTTTGCCCATTTATTAATTGGATTATTTGTTTTTTGAGTTCTTTATATATCTCGGAGATTAATGCCTATCTGAGGTACAGGTGGCAAAGATTTTCTCCCATTCTGTAGGCTCTCCATATTCCTGTTTCCTTTGCTGTAAAGAAACTTTTTAATTTGATTCCATCCCATTTATTGTAAATCTGACTTTTTTTAAAGCCCGTGATATGTGGAACTTTATGTAGCATGTTCAAACCTACGTAGTATTTGGGAGAGGTCAGTTATAGGACCTTGAATTTTGAAGGAAATTCTAGAAACAGAATCTATATGGCAATTTAAATTCTAACTACTTTGATAGGAAGTTGGAAGGGCAGATCTGTATTTAAATTGTTGTTTCTTTAGTTTGTTAGGATTTCTCAGATTTTTTTTCCCCAAAAGTAATGAAAACTTTAAAACATGATGCTCATGATTCACAGTAGGAATCTTTTGTGGCTGCCTTGGTAAATACAGTGATAAAGTGAATTCAGTTATGGTCTTGAGCCTGTGTTTGTTATTTGCTGAAGTTGGTGTCCTACAGAAAGTGTTATAGACTGTGATTTTATCTTTACAGGAGCAGGAAAATTCAGATTCGAAACATCCCTCCTCACCTGCAATGGGAGGTAGGTCAATATTTCTTATCAATAAATTACCAAGACACTTTCTCCCTTTTTTAGTTTCCTTTCACATTCAGGAATTAGAGGTCCTGAGACTTCTCTGCAGAGTCTGGGGTCCTGTCTCTTCCTCTCTCAGTGCCCTGGTATGGCCATGGGTCTCGGGGTACATTTGGCCTTTTCACTATGTGGCATGTACTTTGATCTCTCATGCTGTCTTCTGAAGAGCCAGGCCACCAAGCACCAGCAACCAAGCTGTGAAACAAAACGCTTACCTGGTTTGTGGTTTTTAACCTCAAGATTTGGGTAAAAGATTTTATCTTTCCAAATTATGATTAGAAAAAAAAATCAATGGAAAACCAGCAAAAATAGAAAGCTGTTTGTTAGTTTGAGCAGGTTTTTTGTTTGTTTTGAATTAGTTACTATGAGTAACAGTTAAGATATATTTTCAGAGCTATAAAACTTCTTCTAAGATTGCTATCTTAAATTTAAATAAGATAAACTATTGGGAGTAGCTTTATTGCATTATTTAAAAACTGTCCCATGTTGTATTCCTCAACCCAAAGGAAATCAAAATAGCCTTAAAGGAAATAGAATTTTTTTCTAATGTTTTCATTACTTTAAAATAATGCTTTTTATTATGGAAAGTTTTAAACATACACATCCTGCTGCCTTAAAAAATAAGGAGATCCCTGGAGGAAAACTGAAGGAAGAATTGTTAAATCTTACAGGAGGGAGAAGTGAGCCCTGTACTTTATTCTGCTTCTCTTGAAAGAGCAGTGAGTGAATCCAGCCATCATAATGAGTGACTGTCAGCAGCTACCAAGGCTTTAAAATTCTGTGGTGTCACTTGAGTGAACTGATTACTTGGGAGACAATAAGCAAATCAAAGTCCCCGTAATATTTGTTCAGTTCTAACTGTATTTCTGGATGGCCTGAAAGCAATTTAATTAAACATTTATGTATCCATTCTTGTTTTGCTTTCATTTGCTTGCTGGGGGATATCTATATCTATCTATATCTATCTATATCTATCTATCTATCTATCTATCTATCTATCTATATATCTATATATATATATATATATATATATTTTTTTTTTTTTGGTGATTGTTTCTTCCCATTCTGACACTGCAGCTTCCTTTTACAGGTACTGGATGGACTTTTGGCTCAGTATGGGACGGTGGAGAATGTGGAACAAGGTAATAAGTAAGGAAATTAGCCTGAGTTTTAGAGAGGGATAATACCTGTTATTTCTTATAGGCAACTCCAGAGAAGAATAGTAAATTCATATTTGAAACACGCTTTCTAAGGTGTATGTTAAATAACTGTGTGTGTGAGAGAGATATCTGTATCTTTGTGTATGTCTATATAGTTTTGTTTTTCAACTAAATATGACTCTTAGCCTGTTTTCCTTATGCTGTGCAGTGTGCTCAGGCACTAGAGAAACACTTGTCAGGACCGAGTAAGCTAAATTCACTTAAGAGTAAATGGATTTACCCTGCTGCTATTTGTTTTCATCAGCTAAGAGGAACACATCCCTAATGTCCTGCATTGAATGTTTTCCAAAGAGTAGGGCTCCTGTCCCAAGAATCTCCAGCCGTGCTTATGAAAATGCAGACTCCTAGCTTTCCACTCTAAGGTTTCACTAATAAGATTCTTTGGAGAAAGAGCTCAGAAATCAAGTACCCTGAGTGATTTTTGTGTGCACTCAAGTCTTAATAACTACTGTCTTAAAAACAGTGCTGCAAAGGCCCAGAGAATACTAACTTTACTTCTGCCATCCTCATTTTTATCTTGTAAAGCATGAAATTCTATGATTAAAAAAAAAAAATTAAAAAGTGAGGGAGTAGCTGCTGAAGCTGATGTCTTATGTAACTCATTAGAACTCCCAGAAAAAAATGTTTTATAGCAGCACAGGTCACAATAGGTAAATTATGGAGCCAACCCTGATGCCTATCAGTAGATGAATGTATTAACATAATTTCTTACGTAAAAACATAAGAAATTGTGGTATATATACACAATAGAGTTTTACTTGGCCATAAAGAAAAGTTATGGCATTTGCTGGTAAATGAATAGAAATAGAGAACATCAAGCTAGGTGATATTAGCCAGTCTCAGAAAATCAAAGGTCGAAAGTTTTCTCTCATATATGGAAGCTAGAGCAAAATAAAGGAAAGAAGGAGGGAAGGATTAGATATCATAAAGACATAGGGAAGATCAGTAGAGTAGAAGAAGGAGATCGAGAGGGAGAGAGGAGGGACAGGAAAGGGGAGAAAATGTGGAATGAATTTTAAAAACTCATTCTATGAGCATATATAAATATACCAAAGGGAATTTCACCTTTGTGAGTAAAAAGAACCAATAAAATAAATAAATAATGAGTAAAAGGAAGATCAGTAGAGTAGAGGAAGGAGAATGGAGAGAGGGAGGAGGGAAGGAAAAAGTAGGGAAACATGGATTGAAATAGTTTTCCATGAATTTATGATTTTATCAGGATGCACCCAAATACTGCGTATAATTATAATGCTCTATTAAAAAAAAAAAGAGTCCCAAAAAAGTACATGCCAAAAGTTGATTCCTGATATGAATGGTAGTAGCATAATAAAATTTTTTTACCTTGCCAAGAGAGCAGAATGTAATTTCAGTAACTTACTGACCACGAGCCTGGAAAAGTCACTCAACCAGACTCAGTTTCCGCATGTGTAAAATGGAGAGCATCATTTCTCTCCTGCCTTTATATCACTGATGGTTGTGCCACCTAAAGAGATTCTACAGAAAGTCCTTGTGAATAATGGAGCTTTATATAATCTTAAGGGATTATAAAGGTTTACTTAGGAAAAAATCATAGGAGACCCATGAAATCTCTTCTGTCTGCCAGTATAATTAATAGAATAGTTTTATAGCAGATGTTTCCCACTGGGCTGGGGTGGTGGCTCAGCGGTAGAGCACTCCACCTAGCATGTGCAAGGCACTGGGTTCAATCCTCAGCACCACGTAAAAATAAATAAATAAAATAAAGATATTGTGTCCAACTAAAAAATAAATATTTAAAAAAATATGTTCCCCACTCTATGAGTATTAAAAATATCATTATTCACATTTATGCTCCTACCCGTTCATGGCCAAAGGTGAATGGAAAGACCTCAGAAGAAGACATGATTTACAAGGATTTTATTTCTCAGTTCTTATTTCCTTCAGTATGGACAAGAAGACATTCTTATGATTGGATGTGGTTGGCTAGATAGCCTTACAGACATGAACATATAAGTTCCTAGCTAAGACCATGTTATAAATTCCATACAGTGCTACCTAAGGAAGAAATATCCCCTGTAATCCCAGCAGCATGGGAGGCTGAGGCAGGAGGATCACAAGTCCAAAGTCAGCCTCAGCAACTTAGTGAGACCCTAAGCAAATTATCTACACTGTCTCAAAATAAAAAATAATAATAAAAAATCAAAGGACTGGAGATGTGGCTCAGTAGTTATGCATCCCTGATATAAAAAAAAAAAAAGAAAAAAGAAAAGAAAGGAAATATCCCAGTTCCCTGGGGCAGCTTATAGCTCCTGATCATTTCCAGTGTCTTCACAACTACAGGACAAAACTGTTGAGCTCTTGATTAATCACTCTCTTTCTTGGGTGATTCCTAATTCAAAGGGAAAACATTTTTAGTTGAGTTTTAGAAAACATAATAGTTTTGAATCCAAAAAAAAATAAGTGATTTGAATGGATCTTCCAGCTCATTCCAGAATCAAAAAACTGCCTGATTTCCTGAAGAGGAACATTTTTGAACAGGGAATATGGCTAAGAAGTGGAAATAGAACCTGAGCATCTGAGTCTTAGTGGACAGCTGTATTCAGGAGGCTTCATGCACAGGGTTTTCTGGGAGGCTGTTTCTGCAGCCTCATCTGCAATCCTAGGAAGCAGCCAGTAGGAAACCCCTGCAGCTTTCTGTTCCATATTGAGAGACACTTTTGGGCACATGTTGAATTGTGAGGACACTTTTGGGCACATGTTGTTGTTCTGTCCTGGATACGTGTGAATTAGCAAGATGAACGTTTCCAGGCAAAGACTAGGGCTGGGCTTTGCATTTATGCCATGGACCTCAGGGACAGTTCTGGTTGATGATTAAACACCCCGACCCCCGTAAAGGCTGAAGCTACTTTCAAGTGATTGGACAAACGATGTTTTTTTTTTTTAACCTAAAAATCTTTAACCCCTTTGAGGTCCCAAATCCCGTTGAGAATCTTATAGAAATCATAAACCAGAAAAATTAGCCTTTCTGCAAACACTGGATCATGTGACAGGTAGAGGAGGTTACAGAATTCCTGAAGCTCAAGTGTGATGGATTTTATTATAGGATTTTATATAGGTTATAGGATTTTATTATTACTTTGTAAAACAGCTTTACAGTGGTTTTCTTAAATTAACTTAATCTGGCTGTTAACTCCTGCAACAGCTTTTTTTTTTCTTACCCCTGCGGTGCCAGGGGTGGAACCCGGGGCCTCGAGCATGTGAGGCAAGCAGCCTGGCACAGAGCTGCACTCCCAGCCCCTCCAGCAGTTTGTTTAAAGAGAGGATTCGATTTAGTCGTCTGTTTTGGAAGAATAAATATTTTTAGCTTAATTTTACTGGTTTACATGGAGAAAATTTTATCTGGAAACTTTTTTTATTTTTGAATCTCCAACTATGGAAAAAGAGATGCTGAGCAATTATAAACCAAGATAAGCCAGACTAGAGTGAGCCCTCCTTGGCCAGTCTCAGAGTTGATGTGTTCTCTCCTTTACTCAAGTTATGTAGAGTTGTCAATATTCTTTATTGTTCACAGTTAATAGATTTAACCCACGCAAGCAGTCAAGGAATATGGTCACAGGGAAACAAAAATAGTAATGGTTCAACTTCATTAATAAGTGAAGAATAAAAGCACTTTCATAAAATAATGGTAAGCAGAGGCTGAGGGTTACTGGGTAGAGGAGATATTGGCCAAAGGATACAAAATTTCATTTAGATGGGAAGAATAAATGCAAGAGAGTACATCATGGTGACTCTAGTTAATAACAATATATTATATGGTTGAAAATCGCTGAGAGTGGGTTTAGTGTTCTCACCACACAAAAACATAGTATGTGAGATAATGCATCTGTTAAGTAGCTTGATTAAGCCATTCCATAATATATGCATTTATCAAAACATCATGTTATATACTGTAAATATATAGTTTTACTTGTCAGTTAAATTTTAACAAAATTAAAACATTTTCTTACATACGTAATTATTTTAAACAATTGAAAATAATAATAATTAAAATGTATATCTTAGTAGTGGTACAGTAAAATTTATCCAGACTCCTAGGAGAGCAGTCTAAATATGTAGTAAAAAGCATCATGTTGAGGCCCAGAATGATGGTACACACCTGTCTGTAATCCCAGTGACTCTAAGGCTAAGGCAGGAGGATCTCAAGTCCAAGGCCAACCTGGGCAACCTAGTGAGACCCTGTCTCAAAAAATCTAAAGGGTTGGGAATTAGCTCAATGATAGAGCATCCCTGGTGCTAAAGAAAAAAAAAAAAAAAAGCTTCATATTGGGGCTATGAATATAATAGTAGAGTACTTGCCTAGCATGAGTAAGGCCTATTTGATCCTCAGTACTGTAAAGAAAAACAATATCATGTTCTTTTACCCAATTGTTTTCTTCTTCGATTTATTTTAGCCTACAGAAGTAATTCAGAAGAATACAAAGTCAAATGATGTTTGCAACAAAGGTGATTTTTAGCAACACTATTTATAGTAGTAACTATTGGGAGCAGCAGATTTGCCTTATGGGTTATGGTTAGGCAAATCGTGGCACATTTGCTCACTGCAATTCCATGTCAACATTAACAATGAAAACTATATTTAAAAAGTACATATATTCATGCAAAAGTGTTTATAAAATAAGTGAAAATAAAACTGTTGTGTATACAATCTATTATAAATGTGTTATAAATGTGTTTCATAAGTTGAGGACAAGTTACTGCGAATGTATTGGAATAAATATAACAATGTAAATACCTACAGAGTTCAGTGACATATTTGGTACATTTTCTCTAAAGCTAGTCTGTCTACCTTGAGCCAGAGAGTGACTGACTTTTTAAAAATGATAATACAGTTTTTGTTTCTTCCATAGTCAACACAGACACAGAAACTGCTGTTGTCAACGTTACCTATGCAACAAGAGAAGAAGCAAAAATGTACGTGGACTCAGGTTTATTTCCTTTTGAATTTATTTTGATTTTGTCTTGGAATTCCATTGAGTCCTGTGTTTATAAACCCTTTCTAAGAAGATTGGTGGAGGTCAATCCATGCCCCCTTTGACACATCCCAGGAGCTCATGACACCTGAGCCACAGTTGGCATATTGGTATAGCTCCAACGTATTCCAGCCACTTTCAATATGCAGAGGAGCCCCAGGACATTCATTGACGATGTTTGGTGATTGTGCAGAAACTATCTTAAAAAATGTTGAACATTGGCATTAAAACAAAGGTGGATGCTGTGTCCTGACATGGTTGGGAATAGAGGGCCGTGTCTTTTGGACTCTGTTTTGACAACCACTTGGAGTTCCTTGTACTCAGAGCTTCCTTCGTGGGCCATGGGGAAAATACACAGCCTGTTTCTGTTCACACTCATTCGATGGGTACTGAAACATGACATTTTCCTCTATATATTATTAAAAAAAAGGATCTATCTCAGTGCCAGCAGCAGTGGGTGAATTATCTGGGAGTGGGACATGGCTTAGGTTCTTATCTCTACCCCCATTCTCCTCCTAGTCTCCATTATTACATTGCTTCTGTGATTGATAATTTAAGCTTAATTGTTGACGAACATGGGACTGAGTTCTTTAAAAAAAAAAAAAAAAAAAAAAAAGTTCCTTTTTTAAAGGAGGTTCTTGAAGTGCTGGTCAGGTCATCATAGCTAGAACTCTGGCCACATGTGGTCTTACTTTATGCCTGTGGCCTAACTTTGGTTATATATCTGTTCCTGTTGGAGCGTCTAGTCCAAGTCTAGGTCCTAGGCATTCCGAATAAGGAATTGAGCGAAGACACACAGAAGTAGCAGATAGAGCACTGATATATTGAAGGTGAAGATAGCACTCTGTTACGTAGAACAGAGTGGGCTGAGCCAGAGAGAGAGGGTCAAGGCCCCCAGTGTCTGCAYAATGTCTATGCAGCATTCTCTTCCCTATACGGACCTGATTGAAGGCCTTACCCCATTTTCTCCTGTTGGTTATCTTATGATACCTAATCAGAATGTTTTCCAATCCGTCCCTGCCATTAGTTACTTTAGAAAACCTAATTAGAATACTGTCCACTTTACTTCCATTGGTCATTTTAAAATTTGGTGAGAGTTGTCATGGTAATGGGATTTATTGTCTTTTCCTCCAGCAGCTTTTGATACCCTGTCTCCGCCATCTTGGTGTCCCTGAACTCCTACCTAATGTATCCATCCAGGATTATAATCTCAACTGCTTTTGCTAGTTTTTAACACACGTAAAGATATTTTAACACATTCTCATACCAACAGTTTTGAGAAAGTTAATTTTGCACTGAAAAAAAAAGATTTATTTGCCATTAACTTTAGCACATGTGTCAACTGAAGATACTCTAAGAACCTACCATTCTAGCTTTTTTAAAAAATTTTTATTCTTTTTAGTTATACATGACAGTAGAATGTATTTTGACCTATCCTACATACATGGAGTGTAATTTCCCATTCTTGTGGTTGTACATGAGTTACACTGGTCCTGTATTCATGTAAGAACATAGGAAGGTTTTGCCCAATTCATTCTACTGTCTTTCCTATTCTGAACCCTTCTACCTTTCCTTCATTCCCCTTTGTCTAATCCAGTGAACTTCTATTCTTCCCTCTCCCAACCCTTATTGTGTGTTAGCATCCATATATTTGAGAGAACATTCGGTCTTTGGTTTCTAAGGATTGGCTTATTCCTCTTAGTATGATAGTCTCTAGTTTCATCCATTTGCTGGCAAATGCCCATAATTTCATTCTTCTTTATGGCTCAGTAATATCCATTGTGTATATATACCACATTTTCTTTATCCTTTCATCTATTGAAGGGTACCTAGGTTGTTTCTGTAGCTTAGCTATTGTGAATTGAGCTGCTATAAACATTGATGTGGCCGTGTCACTGTAGTATGCTGATTTTAAGTTCTTTGGGTATATGCCGAAGAGTGGGATAACTGGATCAAATGGTGGTTCCATTCCAGGTTTTCTGAGGGATCACCATATTGATTTCCAGAGTGGTTGCACCAATTTATAGTCCCACCAGCAACCACCATTCTATTTTCTATCCTGCTGCCACTTCGGTGAACACCCATACAGGTTACTCTCTTGCCTTTTTAAATTCAGACAGTGCTTATTTGTGATAAATTCACAAACCCTATTATACATTAACTTAGTAGAATTCGATTAATGCTGCTGCCAAAACCATGGGAAGAGCCCAGCACGGTTGTGCATGCCTATAAGTCCAGCAGCTCGGGAGGCTGAGGCAGGAGGATCATGAGTTTAAAGCCAGCCTCAGCAATTTAGCGAGGCCCTAAACAACTCAGTGAGATCCTGTCTCTATATAAAATATAAAAAAGGGCTGGAATGTTTGTCAGTGTTTAAGCACCCCTGGGTTCAATCCCTGGGACCCCCCCCCCCCCGCAACAACAAAAAAAAAAAAAAAAGAAGGAATTGTTCTGCCTCATGTATAATTTTTAAAGTACAAAAGTGAGTTATTCTTTACCCCCTATCACAGTGATATCTATAATCCACATAATAGTGCTCTGTACTTTTGAGGATTGGGGACATAAGTACTCTCCTAAACTGCTGTGGGATAGGAAATGTTGAAACCTTTCCAGAGGGCCAGTGGGCAATACTTAAGATGTTAGGAATCTGTGGACTTAGAACCAGGTGTGGTGGTATACATTAGTAATTCCAGCGACCCAGGAGAATGGCAAGTTCAAGGCCAGCTTCAGCAAGTGAGGCCCTATCTTTAAAAATATATAAAAATAAAAAGGGCCAGGCATGGTGGTACACACCTGTAATCCTAGAGGCTCAGGAGGCTGAGGCAGGAGGATCACAGGTTCAAAGACAGCATCAGCAACAGCCAAGTACTAAGCAACTCAGTGACACCTTGTCTTAACATAAAAAGTACAAAATAGGGCTGAGGGTGTAGCTCAGTGGTAAAAGCACTTCTGTTTTCAATACTCAGTACCCCCTTCCACAAAAATGAAATTTAAAAAAAAGAAAAGAAAAAACGAAAGAAAGAAATCTGAGCTGGACATGGTGGTACATGCCTATAAATAGTGGCTGGGGAGACTGAGGCTGGAGGATCTTGATTTCAAAGCCAGCCTCAGCAACTTATCAAGGTTTTAAGCAACTCAGCAAGACCCTGTCTCTAAATAAAATATAAAAAAGGGCTGGAATGTTTGTCAGTGTTTAAGCACCCCTGGGTTCAATCCCTGGTACCAAAAAAGAAAAAGAAATCTGAAAACTTTATTTTAATAGTAGGAATTTGTCCTATGTGTGGAATTGTAGCTGCAAAGATGCTTGTGGTAATTCTATATGTAATTGTGAAAGATGGGACCTAATGTACATATCTACAATAAAGTCAATTTCAAAAACTTGGATAAATGATAGCCTGTTAAACAGCCACTAAAAATAATGTTAAAATATAATGACATGGAAAAATGTTGAGTATTAATATTTTAAAGATTAGAAAATTTTATGTACAATATCAATTCATTTTTATAATACATTTACACTTACTGAAGATAGGAAAAAATAGAATGGAATAGAATTCTTTACTTGTACTTTCGTATTTCTGAATTTTCAATAATAAATGTTATGTTGTGATTAAAAAGAAAAAAATGATGATTTTCTACTGATATCTACAAAGAGTTTTGAGTGAGGGGGATACAACCCAGGGTGGTGAAGAGCAGAAGGCAGGATTGTTCGTCCAGTGGGACGGACCAAGCCTATAGGTGATCACTTGTTTAATTGTGGGGAGCCACTCTGGCCAGGAGCTGTGTACACACCTTTAGGTCCTGAGTAAAGAGGTACTGACCATTGCAATGCAGTTGAAYCTTACCTCTGCTTGGATAAGAGAGGTGTGGGTCCAGAAGTGGGCGTCACCGATGGGGTTGGATTACACCCACTTGTTTGTGGTAACCCTACCCCTTGCCTCATTTGAATGGCTTCTCCCCAATAAAGTCCGGGTTCCTGGCGCGCTCTCTCCTTGCCTGCCTTGGCCTCCTGTGGGAGCTGCAGCTGAGGAGCGGTCACTGAACCCAAAGACAAGGTGCTTTCTGGGTCTGGGTCTTTATTTAGTCCCCAAATTCACGTGGAGCGACCCTGACCGGTTTAGTTRTGTGTGGCGACATTTCACCGTTAGCTGTAAGCTCCGGGGGAGCAGAGCTTGCCCTCCACTGTATCCTCAGTGCAGTGCGCGGCACCCACACCCACATAAGCGCCTGGTAGAAGGGAGTGCACCCACCCGTCCCCTGGAGAGTCTTCCTCCATGTCGCTCTCTGACAAGGCTCTCCCCTCCCTGCTGCATTCCAGAGCCATCGAGAAGCTAAGTGGGCATCAGTTTGAGAACTACTCCTTCAAGATTTCCTACATCCCGGATGAAGAGGTGAGCTCCCCTTCGCCCCCTCAGCGAGCCCAGCGTGGGGACCACTCTTCCCGGGAGCAARGCCACGCCCCCGGGGGCTCTTCTCAGGCCAGACAGATTGATTTCCCGCTGMGGATCCTGGTCCCCACCCAGTTTGTTGGTGCCATCATCGGAAAGGAGGGCTTGACCATAAAGAACATCACTAAGCAGACCCAGTCCCGGTACGTGCCTCCGGGGCTTCCTTTGCTTCCTTCCAAGGGGGTCCCCTGCCACCTTCAGGTCACTCTTGCTTATATCAGCAATGGGGTGGGGTGGGAGGGACATTGTATGGGATAGTAGCTTCTTTAAACAGGACTACTAACAGACTAACTTCGAGCTGGGGGCTATGATGAGCTTTAGTGCTAATTGCATAACAGACACAAGCCAAAGGTGTGTAAAGAGGGCACTGATGAACCTCATAGCCAAGGATTGTTCCCATAAGCTAACTAATGCCCTGAACGCATGTAGTTCTAAAACAGCCCAGGTGTGGGGTTCTGTGGGATTGTCAAGCCCTCTGTCTTAGCTCTACCTTCTGCCCTAAGTCGGAGCCCTGGAGGTAGACATTCTTTTAGAGACCACCTAGGTAGTCCCACGTGGACATGGTGAGTCATTGGTGCATCAAGCAAGAAAGAAAGTACACTGGCCTTATGTTTAGTTTTCTCTCTGTTTAAAGAGACTGAACTGTAAAATGAGTTGGATAAAATGACTTGTGCAGTTCTTGATTTTTTTTTAGGTTTGTAAGACCACAGCACAGGACTTGAAAAACAATGACTCATGTTCAAGTTTTACCACTTAATGACTATATGATCTTGGGGGAAAAAAATTTAACCTGAGTATCAATTGCTTCTTCTGTGAAAAGGAGATTACTGTTTTGCCAGGATTATTGTGAGAATTAGCAAAACCAGGCAGATTTAAAGAAATCACTTCAATTGCAAACATCAAAAGTACGACAAATGCTAGTTACATATATATGCTAGTGCATTTTAACCTGAAATGTTTGAGGTTTGTAAAGAGGCTTTGTAACCTGGAAAAAAAAGAAAAGCTAATTTCCTCAACATCTGAGTTAACCCTAAGTATAGACACTAAGATGGATAAGGCCTAGAGTGCATAATCTTAGGAGGAAAAGTGAAATAGAGAAATTACTATCTCATGTTCCTTTTATTTTAAAAATCAGCCCTTTGGGTTAGCACAATCCCATGCCTTAAGCGTACAGTAAAGTTTGTATATATTTTTTGCAAATAAAAAAAAAAAAAACACACAACCCTTTCTTTCCCATCAAGTTTGCCTCACTGAGAATGTGATTTTTATTTGTATCTCCTTTTATTCCAAAGGTTGTTGAAGGTAACTTAAAAAAAAAACTGAATTTAATGTTAAAATTGTGTGCCTGTTTTAAAGAAGTAGGCCAAAGATTTGACTCTGGGCTTTATAACAGCCAGAGTATACAGGGTTACAATAGATACATGATTTTGAAAGTTAACAAAATGAGTAGGGCCACAACTATCCAAGGAAGTCTGATAAAGTCATCAAGCTTTTGAGCCATTAGTTTTAAGAGCCGGAAGAAGGCAGGCTGCCAATGGAAAGGAAACCAAAAACTTAGAGAGGCAGAGAGAGGGCATGCCTCTGTGTTTTATCCACACTCAAACATATAAAGCTTGATCAAATTTGGTGTTTGGGTTTGGATTAACATATGGGTTTTAAAAGCTGCAATCAGTTCAGAGACGGCATGGTGCCAGTGTGCAGTATTATCCTTCTCACTTTACTCTTTGCTTCTGCAGTCATCTGAAAGTCTACAGAAAATACTTCATCTACCAAACTGGCTTCATTACCAAGCTGGCTTGGTGCCTCTGTCCCACAGCACTCCTATGAGAAACAGTCCCTTTCTGAATGGCAGTGCCAAGGATTAGAGCTTGGCACAGACCCCCTGCACTGCTTGCCACCTTCTTGGAGAATGGCATTGGTTGTGAACRTGCTGATGACGCTTTCCTGTCTGTGCCCTTGGTGTTGGCTGGTGCCAGGCTTTCTTGGGACGAGGGTCCTACCCCAGAGGATGTTGTACTTATTGTGCCTGATTCCTTTCTTACAGGGTAGACATCCATAGAAAAGAGAACTCAGGGGCAGCAGAAAAGCCTGTTACCATCCATGCCACCCCAGAGGGGACATCTGAAGCCTGCCGCATGATTCTTGAAATCATGCAGAAGGAAGCTGATGAGACCAAACTGTAAGTTTACATACATTACCCGGGTACAGGGTAAGAAATGTTAAAAGCTTTAAGTCTGTAACTCAGTAAAGGGAACAGGGGAGGGATTGTGTTTAAGAAATTTGATCCCAAGAAGAACACCATAGCGAACAGACCTTTTACATTTACAATATGTTTTTTTCTTCACTTGTGTTTTGGTGATCCCAATGTTACCATCACCCATTGGTAGTAATATTGGTAAGAACATGAATACTTATGCTGTCTAGTACAACTTGCAATGATGGAACTGTTGTATATCTGCACTGTTCAATAAAATAACCACTAGTCACAGACTGGTGTTGAGTAACTGAAATGTGAATAGTGCAGTGGAAGAGATGAAAACTTGGTTTCAACTAATTCAAATCTGAATAGCCATGGATATGGCTAATGGCTGTCATATTGGATAGCACATGTATAGGATGTTCATTGTCTCCTGAGTCATCCTTTACTATTTTGGAAAAGGTTTTTTCCAGCATGTTTCTATACCATTTGCACTCTTAAAATTGGATTATATTTCCTTGAGTAGTAGAAACTAGTTTCCGAGTGATTACTTTACTCTTCATCCTCCTTTTCTTCCATCTCCTCCTTCCCTCTATGAAATAGTTCTTAGGCTTCCACAGTATAATAGTGTATGTTGGTCAGCTTTGCGTAGCTGTGACAAAAATACCTGATGAACAATTTAGAGAAGATTTATTTTGGCTCACAGTTTTAGAGGTTCAGTTCATGGTGTGCCAACTTCTTGCTCTGGTCCCAAGGTGAGGCAGAACATCATGACGGAGGAAAGCATTTCATGGCATGATGGAGGAGAGCTCACCCTTCATGATAACCAGAAAACAGAGAGAGAAAGGGGAAGAGGCTGCAGGGAAGATGCACCCTTCCAGGGCATGTCCCCAATCATCTACCTCATCCCACCATCACCCACCTGCCTGAGTTCCCACTCAGACCATTCAGACTAGGATGGACTGATGAGGTTACAACTCTCGCAGTCCCATCATTTTACCTCTGAACATTCCTGCATTAACAGGAGCTTTAGGGGGACCCTTCATAGTCAAACCATAACAATGAGCATTGTATCAATTTGAATGGCAAGCACAATTTCTTACTAAATGAGTTGATTTTTGTATTATAAATTGATGAATGGTAATAAAATAGAAAATTTAATTTTTAAAAAGACAATGTCAGTTTGGCAAAATTTGTGGGCCATAGTGGCAGTTTTATAGAGGAGCAATGAAGCATGAATTGAATATAACATTAATTTGGCAAATAATGTCAAACATAACTGTCCCAAAACTGGGAAGATGAAAGTAGTTTTTAAAAGAGGAACATTGCAAGTCTATATTCAGATTTCATAAGAGACTCCAACCTTTCATTTATGAATTATTTGCTCTTTATGGCTCTTTAAATCCCCTAAATGCCACAGCTTAATTTGAGGAAAGCCTTCTTTCATCCTAATTATTTAGAATTTTATGAGTAACTCCCTCCTTGATCCTTTAACCTAGGTGCAACTTACAAAATTCTAAGTAGTCAGCAAGACTCATTTTTTATAAATTTGGTCTTTAAAGTTTTCATGTAGAGCCAAGAGAGAGCATTTGAATGTCTTTGAAATATTTTTTTTCTGAGTACCTGAACCATGCTAAGCACTGTGTGTGCCAAAGCTATAACCATGAGCAAGATCCAGTCCTTGCTTTGTGGAGCTTACCAGTCCAGTGGGAGAGAGACTCATTAAACAGTCACATCAGTAATTATGTGCAGCTATGAGAAGTGGAGAAATGCAAGACCAGGTGATTACATGTAATAGGAAGCCCCAGTCAAGGTTTTAGGGGGACAAGAAGGCCCTTGAGGGTTTCAGAAAAGGCCTCCCTTGTCAGTGACAGCCCTGAGGGGGCTAAGTAGAAGATAAAAGATGTCAGAGAATAAGGATGCTAAACTCTATTCTTTTGCCAACTCTTTATTGAGTACCAACTATGGGCCAGGCACTGTTCTGTGTGCCAGGAACTGAGCAGTGAGCAAAGCGGACAAAAGCCCTACTCTCTGAAAGTTACATTTGGGGGAGGTCTTCAAGTATTCTGTTTGTTTTGAGGCAATAATGCATCTGCTACATGTTTTTGGTCTCAGGTAATAGAAAATACAAGTGGCTTAAGCCAAGTGTGATGGCACATACCTGTACTGTAATCCTAGTGATTCAGGAGGCTGAGGCAGGAGGATTGTGAGTTTAAAGCCAGCCTCAGCAATTTAGTGAGGCACTAAACAACTCAGCAAGACTCTGTCTCTAAATAAAATATAAAAAATGGTTTGGGGTGTAGCTCAGTGATTAAGCATCCTTGGTTTCAATCCCCAGTACAAAAAAAAAGAAATGAAATGAACATAATATTTACCATATTAATAAGGCTTGGTGGCACCCACCTTGGGAAGCAGAGGCAAAGAAGTTTGAGTCCAGGAGTTTGAAACCAACCTAGGCAACATAGCACAAGATCCTATCTTAAATAATAATAATAAAATTTTTAAAATAAAATCTATCATAATTATTTTTAAATGAATAGTTCAATAATGTTAAAAATATTCATATTATTGTGAAATCAATATCTAGAATTTTTCCATCTTGCAAATCTGAAACTCTGAACCCTTTGAAGAATTTTCCCTTTTCCTCTTCCCCACCCCTGGTAACCACAATTCTACTTCATGTTTTATGAATTTGACAGCTTGAAATGACTCATATACGTGAAATCATAGAGTAGTTGGCTTATTTTACTTAGCGTAAATCTCTAAGGTTCGTTCATGTTATGGCATAGAGCAGACCCTGCTTTGATTTTTGGAGGGTATATGCCCAGAGATGGACTTGCTGGTTCATGTGGTAGGTATTTTTTCTTTTTTCTTTGGCAGTATTAGGGATTGAATCCAGCTCTATTACTGAGCAATATTCCCAGTCTTTTTTTTTTTTTTTTTTTTTTGGTGGTACTCACTGCCTTGTGTATGCTAGGCAAGTGCTTTACCACCAAGCTACATCCCGATCCCTGGTAGGTCTGTTTTTAATTCATATCTCATTGGCTAGATCTGCCTTGTAGACCCACTTTTCCCTTCCAACCAGTTACCACAAGAGAGTAAAATGATCATGGTTTAGCTACATTAATTGAAATTCATGAGCCTGAGGTTGGCGAGGGGACCTGGCCTCCCCTAAAGCCCAAGGCCACTTGGTATCCAAACAAAATAGCTTCCATTATATAAGAAAATAGCAGGGTGATGTCTCTTGAGAGGCAGCCATTTTGTCCATCTTAAGTGTTAAATCATCATTTTTCTCTTTTAGAGCTGAAGAGATCCCTCTGAAAATCTTGGCCCACAATGGTTTGGTTGGAAGACTGATTGGCAAAGAAGGCAGAAATTTGAAGAAAATCGAACATGAAACAGGGACCAAGATAACAATCTCATCGTAAGTCACCCGTTCAGATTCATTGCGTCCAGTGATAAATCACTTGAGCATTTTGATATGCCCCACTCATCTGCTTTTCCCTAAAATTGAAATATAATCATGTGTGATATAATTATTTCCATCATCATCAAAAACAAATACATAGTTCCCAGTCTGACATTTTCCAGGGGATAAGATCTAAGTCACTAAGATTTGAGTATGTTGTGAGGGAATCCAGTTTTCTCTACCAAGACACGTTTGTGATTGTTCTGGAATGTTATTTTTGCTATCAGAAAAAGAAATGTCTCTCTTTTTCCCACTGGCCAGTTTGCAGGATTTGAGCATATACAACCCTGAACGAACCATCACTGTGAAGGGCACAGTGGAAGCCTGTGCCAACGCTGAGATAGAGATCATGAAGAAGCTACGTGAGGCCTTTGAAAACGATATGCTGGCCGTTAATGTAAGTGCCTAGCGCTTCCTTCTCCGCTAGTTTTCCTCTGTGCTTTCAGACAGGACCCAGGCCTTTCTAAGAACACTGTCATTCAGCTGATGAGAAAGTGCCTTATCTAGATGAGTATGTGGAGTGTTCCTGACTTCTCTGGGGTAAAGGCATTAAAACAGTCAGGAAACCAATTAGTAAAACGTGATAAACACAAAACTGGACAAAACAATGTGAAGCCATTAAAAAAAAATGACCAATAATAAGATTGTAAAATCAGGAAATACTTATGATGTTTATTAAGGAAAGACATGTGAAAGTATTTATAACTAGGGTTCCAATTACATAAAATAATATGGATTGGAATTACTGGAAGGCTCCATACAAAACTAAAAATATATGGTATGTTAGGAAAGTGTTTTTTTTAAACTCCTAATTTCAGAGCTTTCTGTAACATTGTCCTTATTACTTTGGGTGTTTTAAAAATAAAAACTTCGAGCCGGGCCTGGTGGCGCATGCCTGTAATCCCATCAGCTCAGGAGGCTGAGGCAAGATTTCAAGTTCAAAGCTGGAATTAAATTAAATTAAATTCTCAGCAATTTAGCAAGGCCCTAAGCAACTTAGTAAGACACTGTCTCAAAAGCAAAAAGGCTGGGGATGTAGCTCAGTGGTCAAGTGTCTCTGGGTTTAATCCCTGAGACTCCCCCTGCCAAAAAAAAAAAAAAATACTATGGCCAGGTTCAATTACGCATAACTGTAATCCCAGGAGCCTGAGGCAGGAGGATCACCAGTTTGAGGCCAGCCTCAGCAACCTAGTGAGACCATGTCTCAAAATAAAAAATAAAATAAAAGGCCTGAGCATGTTGCTCAGTAGTAAAGCATCCCTGGATTCAACCTCCAGTACAGAGGAGAGAAAGCACACTTTATAATTAACTTCCAGTTTTTATCTCGTGCTAGTGATCTGCACTTTTAAATTGCTTAATAATTGCTGACCTCCACCTGAGCTCTCATTAATACTGCTAGGAGACTGGTTTGAGTGTGTCCTTCCTGTTATTGCTACTAGTTCCCACTTGATAATGGGGAAACACAAGTCTGCACTCAGGAAAGTCCTAAAAATATTTGTCTATGAGCAAAGCCCAAGCTCAGCTCAGGGGAGTAACAACTTTTTATTATAATTTTCTAACATATACAGAAGGGTAGAAAGATCTCTGATAAGCCCTCATAGCTGATAATCCAGCTTCACTGGGTTGTGACCTCATGGCTTATTTTGTTTCATCTCAACTCTCATCCACTTCCCATCTGTGTCAGATGACCTTGAAGCAAGTTCAGACCTGATAACATTTCATAGAGGAATGAGTGTTGACCAAGAGTTCTGTGGACTAAACCCCAGCACCCTTGCTGCAGTACTTTCCACACTGGCCTTTACGCAGGTCCACACTCTGCCCCCACATCACCTGGGCCCCACCTGAGCAGGCCACAGCACATGGTGACTGTGAGGCAGGATGGGGAGAGGTGGAGGAAGAGACAGCCATGCAACCTCCTCCCTGTGTGTTTGTCTGTGGAAGGACCATCTGAATGGCTCATTTTCTTCTTGACATCTTTCTGTGAACACTTGGAAATGCTCAAAAGGGTCTGGTTGCTGCAAAGATTTGTCACCTGAGCATGAGAGTCATCATGTCTATTCAAAGCCACGGTCTGAGAGATGACTCACAAAATCACTAGGGTCTTACATATCAAATGAGATGAAGGTGAAGATCCCAGTTCTACTGTTCCAAACATTCTAAAGGAAGTCAAGTTATGGGGTGACTACATTCCTCTGTCTCTAAGAGGTTTAAAATCCACCTCCAGCCCATTTGAACATACTCAGGTTTAAAACATGGAGTAAGTGAGTGAGATGATCGTGAAGCTGGCAACTAAATGATGAAGAGACAGAAGTCACAGACCATCCCAAACTTGGATCATGGAATTTCCATATGTAGTGTCCTAGTGAAGGGTCTGATCTGTCCCTGGATAAAGTGAGAAAAACCTATTGACCCAATTTGTTTTCAGGGAAATCATTCAACAAATATTTATTGAGTACTTAACTATGTACCAGGCACTGTACACAACACTAAGTAAAAGAGTCTCTGTAAGAAATCATGGTCTAAAAGGGGAAAAGTTAATTGCACAGGTCATTCAAACACCATATGATGAGTGCTGTTTTAAGGAAACAGGAATGCCAGGAGAACCCAGATAGGGTGTTAGAGCTCAGACCTCTGGGGTCAGAGAAAGCTTCATGAATGAGGGGGACACTAAGCTGAGTGAGGGGAGACTCAGCCAGGTGAGGAAGGAGAGAAGCACTTTCTTCCAGGGGAGTCAAATGTGCAAGAGCCCAGAGGTGAGAGAGAACATGGGGGTATTGAAAGGAGCAAGATTGAGCAGGATGGAAATAACAGGTTGACAAGGTGGCCCGAGTCCCCAGATAGTCCTCAGTTGCCATGGAAAGATGTGTAGATGTTCCCAAGGGTGGCAGAAAAGCTTTGAAGGCATGCCACAGTCGGGTTGAGGATTGGCATCCACCCCCAATGCAAGGCAAAGAGGTCTTGTGAGCCAGGGCAGAGCTAATGGGAAATGCTGGTGCCTTTCAGACAAGAAATGGAGGTTGACCCAGGCAAGCTGGACCTCTCTGGTCTCCTCCCCTCATATTTTTTCTCCATTTCTGTTCCCAGCAACAAGCCAATCTGATCCCAGGGTTGAACCTCAGCGCACTTGGCATCTTTTCAACAGGACTGTCCGTGCTGCCACCACCAACAGGGCCCCGCGGAGCTCCCCCCGCTGCCCCCTACCACCCCTTCGCTGTAAGTAGCTCAGGATTCAGAGATTTGCTTATGCTCTGGGCACCGCCAGGCAGCAGCATTACTCTGCTATGTTGAGTCAGAGCTAAAGCTTTCATGTGGAGGCCATCCTCATGAGTGATTGGAGGAGGAATCCAGTATTTCTTAGTATTTCTTCCTCAGGGGAAATTGATATTAAACCATCTTCTAAACATGTGCTCTTAAATATCCTCTATTTAATCAATATGCTAGTATTTTGTCTTTCATAGAATACTAGCATATTGATTAAATAGAAGCCTATTTATTGTTAAAAAAAGATTTGTTAGCTCAAATAAGAACATTTGTATTATTTATTACAATGTGAGGATACCTGGGTGATTCATTATAGATAGATAGATAGATAGATAGATAGATAGATAGATAGATAGATAGATAGTAGATAGATAGATAGATTTCCTATGTCTACAATTAAGATGCATTACATTTTAATAGTCAGTTTTTTAAAAAAAGTAGTGTTTGTGTCTAAGCAGAAAAATGCCTGGTATTTAGTATGTTCTCCATAAATATTTATTGTTTGAGTTATAATTTACAACAAAAGAAAAAAAATGTGAAAGGTATATTTCTACTTGTTGTTCTCCTTCACAAGCATTATTCAAGATCAATACACTACCAAATTGGGATTTCAGACACTTGACAGCTCTTCCTTTCATTTCTGATTCTTCTCTATACATATTGCTTATTTTTAAAAGCGAACTTTCTTTCGTCCAATGTTTATGCCGTTTAAGTGAAAAGAATCAGGTAGGTGAGTGAGCATTGCTTTCTTTTGAGAGGTGGCTTCTGGTGTGGGCATTGCCTTGTGTGAGTTCTCAGTGGCTGTTCTGCTCCCCTATGGAGATACAGGAGGAACCCTCCACGTTGCTGTGCCAACAAAATACAGATGTGAGCTTGCACCACATCCTCTCTCACGTACACGTCTCCTGCAGTCTTGTCATAGAAGCTCCTCTGGGGTTTTTCTGAATAAGTCTATATCATCTCTTTAGTTTCATTCATCTTCCCTGACACTAAAGGATGCAGCTCAATCAACACTAAGTTTTGTGTGTAGGTTTGATAAAAGCAGAGCCTATGGAGGGAAGGGCTGTGGCTGCTCACTTGGCAGCTCCAAGCAATGAGATAGCATAAGAGGTATGTGTCCCAGTACCTTTGCTGTCAGATTTGAGAATGACCCAGCTCAGTACAGGGAAAAGGCATGAAGACATATCTCATTTCTTGAGAGGGAGGCTGAACACAGGGCCCCATAAAAGATAACCTCAAGTCAGACCACTCTCACAACCTACCAAGGAGAGGCAGGGGAAGCATAATAAAATAGACCATTCTCAAGTTGGTAATCTAAAATGGGGGTCTCGGGGCTGGGGATGTGGCTCAAGCGGTAGCGCGCTCGATCCTCAGCACCACATACAAACGAAGATGTTGTGTCCACCGAAAACTAAGAAAAAATAAATAAATGTTAAAAATTCTCTCTCTCTCTCTGTCCCCCCCTTCTCTCACTCTCTCTTAAAAAAATTAAATAAATAAAATAAAATAAAATGGGGGTCTCCATTGTATAGCCTGAGGGGTAGATCTGGTCCATCATTTCCTTTTTTTTTAAGAATTCAATCTTTGTTTATTTTTAAAATATATATATTTTGGTTGTAGATGGACACAATTCCTTTGTTTCATTTATTATTTTGATGTGTGCTGAGGATAAAACACAGTGCCTCACACATGCTAGACATTCACTCTACCACTGAGCCACAACCCCACCCCCTATTATTTATTTTTATTGTTTATTTTTTATATGGTGCTGAGGATCGACCCCAGTGCCTCACCTGTGCTAGACAAGCACTCTACCACTAAGCTACAATCCCAGCCCCCATCATTTATATTGTAATCATTTTGTAAATTGCTTTTTATTGTTTGTTGTTTTGTTTTGTTTGGGGGCATGGTACTGGGAGTTGAACCCAGGGCCTCACACATGCTAGGCAAGTATTCCACCCTTGTATTACATCCCCATCCCTTTTAATTTTATCTTTGAGACAGGGTCCTACTAAGTTGCCCATTCTGGCCTTGAACTTGCAATCCTTCTGCCTCAGCCTCCTGAGTACCATCATTTATTTTTATAAATAAAAATTGGGGGGGGGACACAGCCATGGGCACTTATTTTCATATTGTCTATTTACTATCAGGCAGAAATGAGTACATGCAATAGAGACCATATACTGCAAAGCCTAAAATTTTTATTATTTGGCTCTTAACAGAAAAAGTTTGTGGACCCCTGAACTAAAACAAGACAAGTTTTCATGTGATAGCAAAATGTTTTCTAAAATCGAAACTACATTTTTCCAGCTGAAGAGCTTCCTCCACATCTGAAATTTTTACTAAAATAGTAGAGTAACCATTTTGCTAATATATGCAGTTCCTGTTCTTCATAAGATGGTTTTAAATAAGATTTGCTTATTAAGCCAAAAGTCATGTAGTTCTGACCATGGTTGTGTGGATCAAGAAGATTCTAATGTAGAGTGCACAGTTGCCCCAACTTTGAGATATTCTGGCTTCTACGGACATCACCCTCAGACATCACCCTCGTGCAGCTGCAGATTGCAGAGCTAGGGTGTAAAAGCACCTCTGCAAAACCCCGTACAGGCCCCCAGAGCCACATCTGGAGAGTTCACCCTGCTGGCTTCTGAGCTTTCCTGTGGGCCTAGATCTCCTGAGAAGGACAGGGGAGGGGAGGGTGGTAAGAATACTTTATGTACTTACAATGTTGCTTTCCTGTCACATAGGCATTCAGATTTCAAAGAAAGATTCTTTTTGGTTGCTGTCATACAGCACAAATCCTGCACTTTTGCTCTTAACATCCAAAGGTCGGGAAATTTGTGTGCACCTCCTTATAGCCGAATCATACACACATGCATTTATCTCTAAACTCTGGAGTTTTTCATGAATTTGTGTATGTAATGACAACTATCATTTTTTACTGTTTTTTATAAAAGTGACCCATGCATAGTATTTAATAAGCAATACAGAAATACAGAAAGTACAAGTTTTTCTTAGTCTAAAGATACCCAGTATTTTCCATGTGTAATATGAATATATATATTAGTCATATTTCAAATTTTCTCTATTAGAAAACTTGCATATGCATATGCATCTTGGCTGTTTTCTTGATCTCAGGGATTGAACCCAGGGGTGCTTATCCACTGAGCCACATTCCCAGCCCTTTTTATTTTGAGACAGTGTCTCACTAAGTTGCTGAGGCTGACTTTCATTCTCCTGCATCAACCTCCTGAGTCCCTGGGATTACAGGCATGCATCACTGCAACTGGCATCTTTTTTTATCTTAATGATTTATAACAACTCATTATATATTAAAGCTGTTAAGCCACTGTCATAACTATTTTCCATCACCTTGTCATCTCTTATTATGTCTTGTACATATAATTTTTAAAAATTATATTGTAAACAAACTATTATATGAAGTAAAATAGTTTCCCTTTGGCCTTTTTTTTTTTTTAAACTAGGGATTGAACCCAGGGGTGCTTTTACCACTCAGCTACATCCCCAGCCCTTTTTACTTTTTGTTTTGAGACAGGATCTTGCTAAGTTGCTGAAACTGGCCTCAWATTTGTGATCCTCCTCCCTTAACCTCTTGAGTTGCTGGGATTACAAGAGTACATCACCATACCCAGTGGCCTTCCTTCTTTTACCCAAATTTCATCTATACCTATTCCCCAGAAGTGTAATACTGTTATGTTTACACATTTTTTAAAAAATTTTTTTCTCAGCATATATATAGTCATATTTTAAAAATGCAAATGAAATCATGCCATACACCATGCACAACAAAGTTTTGTTTTTTACTTTGGGGCATCTTTTCACAGCTTTACCTAATTTTCTTTAGTAGCTGTGTAATATTCCATTGTATGAATTTACTATAACTTTTCTAAATAGTACACTGTTTTTAGATGTTTGAGCTGATTCCAGGTTTTTGCTATTGCTAGCAGTGTCCAAAGTAATATCGTGGGCTGGGCTTGTAGCTCAGTGGTAGCACTTGTCTAACATGTGTAAGGCACTGGGTTTGATACTGAGTACCACATAAAAATAAATAAATTATAAGATATAAAAAACTGACATTTCAAAAAAAGGAATATCTTTATACATGCATAAGTCTTTGCACAAGCGTGTGATTATATTCTGAAAGTAAAGTCTCTTAAGATTTTTCACCAACAGAATTCATGGAGAAATTTTTAAGTTAAGATGGCTAAATCTGTATTGTTTTTCTTTATGGGCTTCTGGCCTTTGATATCATGCAATGGAAGAAATATATCCAAGATTGTAAAAATATTGTGTCCTTATGGTAATTGTTAGTTGGGTTAGGAAGATGGTTGTTTGTATCTGTAATTCATGGGGAATTTATCTGGACTTATACTTTGAGATAGAGATCAAACTAATTTTTTTCCAGTTGGAGAGCTAATTTCCTCAAATCATTTATTGAGTAATCTACCATCTTATTATTCTAACTGAAGAGCCACACTCATGTTCTGGACCATATCCCACTTCATCCAATTCTTGGTCTACACAGCAGTTCCCATAGTTCTATCCCATCTTTGACAATCTTAACAGAGAGCTTGTTTTTTTTTTTTTTTTTCTTTGCCTCAAAGAATGAATTTGAAAGATGGCCAACATTTACTATATGAACAAATGAAAGAATATGCAGGAATTTTCTACTCCTTGAAGGTTTGATAAATCCCATCCGTAAAATGTCTGGGCCTACCAACTTTTGTTTGGAGAAATATAATCTTTTTAGTTTCTTACAAGTGTTGGCTTGATTTTGTGGACTTTTATAAAAATATTCGTTTCGGGGTTCAGGGTGAGCTCAGGGGTAGAAGTGTGAAGCCAATTCTTAACACCACAGATTTGTATTTTTTCTCTTTTTTTCTTAAGATTTACAAGGGATTTTTTTTACTTTTTAAATTTATAAGTAATTA